TGTTTAAAATAAGGAGAAATTCTTGTCATATTGATTTTCTAAAAACTGGCCAACTTTAAATATTCTAGGTGTATGATTAACGATCTATTTCATCATAAATATATATATATATATATATGTCACAGATATATACATCCTACGTCATCTTATTATTTATTGGATTTTTCTTTATAGTTTAAAAATGAAAAATAATACGTCATGTTTGATAACACTTCTACGATAAGAACGAAAATAAACGTATTCATCTAATTAAGCAAAAGGCAATTCTATTGATAACACATTAGACTTATTCGATTTTCCTTAATATAAAAATGGTTAATTAAAAAAAAAACATTATAGAATTTTTCATTGAAAAATTTATGAATTAAAAGTTTATATAAATCGAATAAAATTTGATCAAACTATATAGCTGTTTTAAAAGCATTTGTTCTCATAAATGAATATTATCGAAATATTTCTAATAGAACGTTCATTATTATCTGGAGTTTTCTTCTCCTTATTATTTTTCATGATTAAAATTTCAAAAAAAAATTGTATCCATTCTATTTGAAAATGATCTAGGATCGAATGTAATTCTCACGAACATGTTTTATTTATTTGATTATTCTCTCCCTATGTTATAAAAATCGGGTCACTTTTGACGATTAATCAGTGATTTTTCGGATATTAAAATAAATCGCTACCAATTTGCAATTTAACAACAAACTTCCACAATAAGTATCATTATATAAAAATATATTTTTTCTTCGATTTAGGTCACCTGATCAGCAAAGTAAACAATAAGTATTATTTTATTAACAAAAGAAAATTTTTTTTTGTATTATCTACTTCAGATGGGGCGAAAGAAATCATCTCTTTCCTTCTTCACGAGAAACATGTGTAAGCACGATGGTATACACATAGAAACGTAGACATAGTCGTAGATCCAAATACTACAAACAGGTCAGATCTCTGGAGAGATTATTTGAATAATCGTGATGTTGATGCTATGGGGAGCGACAACACGTGGAATAGAAATCGAAGTCCATTGATTGATGAGTTTTAGAGTTGTCACTTCTGTTTCTGTTTTGATCTTTCGTCAAGTTTCAAAACATATTCTTGATCATCTTCATCAAATTGAATAGCGAAGAGAAGATTATTATAAATTATAATATTGATTAATTGATTCCAACGACGTCAAACGTTTTTTCAACATTAAATCAGATTATTTTTCGACTTGATTTTGACTGAATGACATTCAATGTCTATTAATACTATATTGGATTTGTCAATTTGTTTTATTTTGTTTCAATAACAAATGATGACATCAGGTGAATCATTGAAATTCTTTGGAGTTATTGGCTTCACAAAAATGCAAATGTGAATCATTCGTATTTTTGAGTAAGATGTCATACTCAGACGAAGATATTGTATTTTTCTCATCAAGTTTGATTTGATCGAAAGGTGAAGGTTTCTTTTCTTCGATCGTGTATGAAGAATTTTTCTCGAATTGAAATATTAGATTAATTAGAAATTATTTGAATGAAAATAAATTCGATCGAAATACAACGAACAAATCTCTTCAATAGGTTGAAAATCAAACTTGGATCAGATTTGATCGATCAACGAAAAATATTTTACTTCGAAGTTCAATCGAATGATTTCAACTTGATTGATTTTCAATTGAAACAAAAACGATAATTGATTTTAACTCCGACGATATGATGATTTTGAAAGAAATTCAAAAACAAATGTTCTCAACGAATTTTTTCGTTGAATGATCAAGAAACACTTGCTTAATTCTTTTATTCATCTGTTCAGATCAATGTTTGACTTTAGTTGATGGTCAATGGATTGTGCCGATTGTCGAAGAATATGTAACGAAATGAGGATAATCAAGAATCAAAGAGGTATTAGATAAATTTATCGAAAATATCGAAATATTTCGTAAATCAAATTCAAGTTTTCTTCAAAGAATTAAGTTTTTTGATTCAATCATTGATAAGCAAAAATGGGAACGAACAAGTCCAAATAAATCAATCCGAATAGAAAAAAAAATTTATCAAATCAAAGCGAATTCGATGTTCATTTTTGAGATTTCTTTTGGATGTGATTAATCATTTCAAGAAAATGCAAATCAATTCGAAACAATTATTTCAACGTTTTCAGATCAATGCGATGAATAAGTACTGAGTCAACATCAATGATTCATCGTTCGTTATTTAATATTTGTCACTATAGAAATTGTTGTTGTTATTTCCTTGATCTCAAGAACAGTTATTTTTCGTTTTCATATTCATTGAATGATTCATTTCTTTTAAATTTAAATTCTTTAACCAATTTTGCAGGTCAATGTCATATTTCATCAAAGTTAAACTTAATTTAATTAGTTTTTGATCGTTGTCAAATGAAAATTTGTCCAAATGGAAGGCATGTCTTAAAAAAAAACAATAATCTAAGAAATTTTTAGACATAATTTCACCAATCGAATAAGTTGATTTCTCGAAGAACAAATTGCGAAAGATTTATTATGTTATTTCTCCGTAATGACGCAAGAGTGGTTGAAGTAAGAAGAAAAAAAAATTCCTTCGTTAAATTATTGACATAGGTGAATCTGAAGAAAATGTTTTGTTGATCTTAACAAAAACTGAGTTGTTGTTGCGAAATAACATCAATTTAAAAATAAAAACTCTAGCATTATTGAGTTCACATTTCAAAAATATTTGTTTTCAACGAGAATCGATGTTTACGATGGATCTCAAAAGCGAAATTCTTCAAGATATTGAACAATTGTCAGTGAAAAAACATAAAGAAGAAACAAAATCAAGTTATCATCCAAAAAATGATCTCAATTTTTATTCAAATCTACTTTGGAATTCATCATCTTACGATGATGTTGAACAAATTCAAATAGAATTGATCCCTGTAGAGAATGAAGATCAACGTGATTTATTCAATTTCATTCGTCATAATATTTCATCAATGCCTCAATGTGAAACACCTGGTCGTGTTTTATCGGTTTTGATTTACGATAAATATTCGAAACGTTTTCTCGGCATTATCCAATTAACAACCGATCTATTGAAAAGCCAATTCAAAGATGAATTTATCGGTTTTGATGAGAAAAAACGTGGCCAATTGAAGAAACACATTCGTGATCATTCAGCTAATTTATCGATTTGTATTCCTGTACAACCGTTCGGATTTGATTTTTGTGGTGGAAAACTATTGGCTATGCTCGCATTTTCTTTAGAACTTCATCAAATGTATGAAATGAAATATTCGAATACATTAGCTTTAATTACAACAACATCGATTCATGGAAAATCTATTCAATATGATCGACTCAAGCAATTGAAATTCATTGGTTATACAAAAGGATATGGAACCAGTCATATTCCAGTGTCATTTATGGACAAAGTATATCGGTATTTGGAAGAAAATTATCCAAAATTCAATATTAAAAAACAATCAAAATGGCAATCATTACGATTTCTAGTGCAACAATTGCATATCGATAGTAATCAACTTTTCTTTCACGGTGATCAACGTGGTATTTATTGTGGTTGGACTGGTAGCAATGCTAAAGAATTTCTTTTAAAAAAGAACACAAATTTTGACAGAGATAAGCTTCAATCCGTCGAAACAATAACTCAATTCTGGAAAGAAAGATGGGCCAAACAACGTTCAGCTCATTTGAAGAAACAGAACACCTGAAAATACTTCTAAACAAAATCAATTTTAATCTAAACATTGAACATGACCAAGTAACAGATGTACATTGTCATTTAACAACGACTATTCAAAAGTTTATTGAAAGAATTTTCCTAAGAAGTGAATCATTTCAACTTACTGTCAAAGTCGTCGAATAATGACTGAAAGTCTTGACGGTTATTGTTCTTGACATAGAAAACGAATGAAATATGAACTCGAAAAAAAAAACAATATATGTACACTTTTATGATCATTTATCGTTTCAATAAAACAGTTAAATATAGTTTACTACTGGCAACTGCATCTATTTTCACACATAGAAAAATAAGAAAGTAATAATTCTAATAGATTCAAACAGTTTGATGAGTGTTCTAGCAGGAATGAAATCGTGATTGTGATAGCTATATATCATCACCTCTAACTGGATTATCTAGTCGATCATTAGAAAAATACTTGATTTTTTTTCTTCAGAGAATCAATTTTTATTTTAAAAGACATCATACAGTGATAGAAATTTGACCTCATCTTCCATTTCCTTCTCTATTCAGACTCGGTATGTTACAAGCAGCTACTTCTCATTGGCAAACATAAAGAAAATTAAGTTTAATTAAAATTAAATTATTTTAAATTTTCGGTTGATTTGAATTTAACAATTTTTTTTCTTTTTTTTATGGAACAATTAAATTTCATAGTTAAATTTTAAAGATTTAATCAATGAGAGCGTCTATAGGAAATAAATCATTTTGAAAAATTTTAAGAAAAAATTATTTTTTATTTTGAAATTTATAGTCGTAATTCAATTTTTATTACGTGTGCAAAGTGAATGGATGAGGTTGTGTTCGTGAACAGAAGTTGCTCACTGACATCCATATTTCAAATCAGTGTTGTTTTGAATACCATTTTCTGTTTTTTTATTTTTGTATATAAATGTTTTGCACCTCAACTGGTTTGTCTTCATTCAATGTTTGATTCCATGTTATAAGGACAATTAAATGGTGCGTTCAAATTTAAAAGAAAAAAGCTCATGACATTCTTAATGACAACTATGTTTGGTAAACTCTATGCATTGGAGCTCGTTAAAAGTAAAACTAAATGTATAAGTTTTATTGAAGTTGTTATGCGTAAACTTTTTGAAAATTTAAAAAAAGAAAAATTGGAACTTAAGATTATGTTCTATCTGAATAGTTTAAATCAAAAAAACAAACGAAATTGAATTTAATAGTTTTTGAATTTCAAGTTTATGTTCACAAATGAGTAGACACACGTATAATTCTCTACACAAATCGATTCGAAGAAGTATTAATCAATCATTTACGAGTACAGGGTCCGATAGTAGTCGTGTCATCCATAATAGCGAGACTCATCACCGGCTTATGTCGACCATCGCGTGATTCAATTCCATGAAAACCACCAGCTACGTAGCACATTTTCGATTGATTGATCAGTTCATTTTCAACTTTAACAGGTACAACAAGTGCATTGAGTCTAATCTGCTGAATATCACACTTTTTCTGCTCATGTAATCCATAGCAAAGATGAAGAAACCATCCGGTCACGTTCGTGCCAGCCGGACTGTAAGAAAAAGAAGATAAAATCTTCGTTTTAATTTACTAAACAAATAAAAGAAATCTTTCAAAGTTTAAGAAACGACAGAACCATCGAGATTAGATTACCGCTTTCTTTTTGCAAAAAAAAAACATCACACTTGCATATTTTATAGGACTATTTAGAATCTAGATACACGACACACATTACCTTCCTGAACGTCCTCCACCCCAATGTTTGATGTCCATGATCTTGTTCCAAAATTTATTGTCAACATTACCTTGATAGGTCTCAATGAATTTGTCGATGATGGGCAATAATCCTTGAATATAAGTAGCAAAACTATCATTTCTAGACGTTGTAAAATTTTGTAATTGTTCAGTTTTATGACGCAACAATTTCCAGTCGTCTAAGGTGCCCATGAAGTGTACATTACGAATGCCACATTTTGTTATTACACATCGATATTCAAAGTATTGTTTGAATGTATCCATAATAGCAACACATGAAAGTAATGATTCAACTTTGGTTGTTGTCGAAAAATTCGAGGTAAGTATATCGATAACATCATTTTTCACATTGTTACGCATTAATAGACGCATCTTTTCAAGAAAATCGTCCCAACTATGCGAAAAAAATAAGAACAAGAATTCGTTTTCAAAAATAATGATGTAAACAAATACGTACTCAGGTTCGACCATATCTGTTTGAAAAATTGTCAATATTTTCTTGCCATCGTGATCAACAAATATTGTGCGCAATTTTTCACTATTCTCATTGATGTATTTGGAAAAATAGATACAAATCATAAGCCAAATATCATCAGGAGATAAAACAATATCTTCATGAGAATTATAGGCTCTAAGAAAGGCTCTGAATACAGGATGATCTGAGCATAAGTATGTGTCTAAAAATGATCAAAATCTTTTGAATTAATTCAAACATATTCGAATATTTTCTTACACTGTCCATTGGCATTTATGTATTGAACTTTGTAGCGTGTTTGATCTGCATCCTTATCAACAAAACGCACCCAATAATTGGCATCCGGCAAATTTTTAGACTGTTCATACGAATTGTAATCTTTATTGACTTTCGGAAGGCTGTCACAAATAGACACTGTATGGTAACTTGAAGGTACATCCCCATTGAGCGTACAAGTAGCAGAAATCACGTTTGTATTAGCATGGTTTTGAAATCTACTAGAATTTCCACCCATTATAGTAATGGAAAGATGCAAAACGTCTGATAAGACTGTTGTAAATTTCTTTAACGGATGAAAAAAAACTTACAATGACAAGAAAGACCAAGTCGATGTCAGGTATGACGCATATTTCATTATCCGTTTGTCAATAAGAATGCTGAATCATCGATATTGACAGACGGAAAGAAAGTAAATAAATTTATCAGCAAGAAGATGACGATACTAAATGAATCAGCAAAGCTAATCGAGTCATATTAGGTGTGAATATATGGGAGTTGGTATGACTGTAAATATAGGCGAACAAGGGTTTGCATCACCGATAAGAAGCTACCACAACACAACGAGAAAAACAAATTTCATTGGTCGAAAAATTCATGAATCACAAAACTAAAATGATTAAAATACTATTATAAGGGACACAAAAGTAGGCCATGAGTCACCCTAGCAATGCAAGAAACACATGAAAGTTTCACTCAATACATATTGCAGTTTTCCCCCGTTAATCATTTTATACATGCAACTCTGAAAATCCTTGGTAAACCAAAAGAAAAAAAACTTCCCAACACTGAAATCTTGAAAATCTCTTGAAGTACTTAATTTCTACATTGCATGAACGATGAAAATCTAGTACATTATTATAACTTCCGTCTTCAGAACAAGCATCTGAGATGAATGATTTTCTTAATTAAATACATCATCATCAATAACTAATTGTAACGAAGATTGATTTTTCACAAATCATGCAAACACGTCCGATGAATCTGGACATGTGTGTCAGATGCAGAATTTAATTCTCTAACGAATTATATGTAATGCATCAACTGAACATACTTTAATAATTTGTAGAAATTCTCTTTTGTCCTTCAAATTACCAAAAGCTGATGATATCGTACTTCATTGGACATTGAATATCTCCTTTCACAAGTATGTCCGATGAATAAGATAGCTAACATTCCATAGAGTATCAAATTCTTCATCTGACACATATGTCTCTCTATTCACCAGACATGCTTCGAGAAAAAGAAATTATCCAAGCACAAACATACATAGCTACCTGAGAAACAATGAACAAACAAAAAAATATTTAATTTTATTTAGTAATCTCATGTGTTGGAGTGTTTTTGTCTAGAATAATATTGCCTTTTGCATCTTTAATTTTAACTTTTCCATTTGTATAATGTACTTATTGTTCACCAGTACTAAATATTGTTAAAATAGAACCATTTGGAAATAATTTTCTCTTAGATGTATCTGTATGAACTTCTTTCGTTTGATTTGGATATTGAATAAATTTTTCTCTATTGGTTTTCATTGATTTAATCGTACCATCAGTTAAATAAATATATGTTCTTGTTGTACATCAGGTAAATGTTTTTCAATTTGTCTATTTGGAAATTCATATATATATATGTGTACCATCTGGATATTCTGTTTCAGTTGCGTTTGTAGTTGTATATTTATGTATACAATGACTATTAGATAATTTTTCTTTATAATCGCCATTATAAAAATAAACACGTATTTATTTACCATCGGAAGTTATTTCTTGTTTTGAACCATTTGGAATAGAATTTATTTAGATAGATCAGATTTAATACGTTCATCATTGTGAGATGAATTTCTTCAATTATTGAATTAATTATTTGTTGATATTCATATATTTTCTTTAAATGCTATACTAACATGAGGTATTTCTTGACGTTGTTGAAGAAGTGTTATTGCTGACAATGATAATGATGCGCGTGTAGCCATGGTTAACAATGAGTTATAATCAAGAGTAGCTGGATGATTTGATTCATCATTGTTGATGAACATTTTTAGATAATCACCATTGACAATAGGTGATAATGATCTAAACAGCAGAAAAAATAAATTTTTGTCGTCACTTGAAGCTATAAAGGATTGATTTCTGTCTTATATTATCTTTAAAAGTAAATGTGAAAGAAGGCTTGATAGTGAATGTATCCTTATCATTGAATATGTGAAGAATAATCTTAGAATTTGCGAATTATTTTAATATATGTGCTTCGTTCGATCAATTCATTTGATTCACTGTAAAGCATATAAGATAACAAAAGAAATCGATGCGTTCTTGTACTGTTTTTGCTTATCTTATTGAGCTACAAAATCGGATAGAAACTTTACACATGTTAATCGTTCGTTCGCACTACCGCCAGTATACTAGCAGTACTCCTGTAACATAAGGCTAGATAGGACCGTCGTGTTCTATACTCATCTCTGAACTGTATAAAATACGATTGTTTATGGATAATGAGAAGATCAAATCTTCTTTTTCGTTCTATTGAACTGTCATATAGGTAAAACTAAATGTTTCACAGATATTAAAAATAGTAGCAAATTTCTTTTCTTAAGTATTGTAATATATTTCTTTTAGAACTATTTTTTATGACGATACATGGTGGCTATCAAATAGGCCATGTCTAGAAATGTAGGAGCCCACGGTTTTTTGGTCTCGATCTAGAGAAAAATATTTCAGGATTTATTCTTATCTCATCTAAAAATATTCTTTAGTACTTCCTTTTTTTGTTTTATTCATATGATTTATTAAGATAATTCGATTAAAACTATAGAATATTTAGCTATAATCTACTTGTATCACATATTTCGGAAAGTGAACATGCAAGAGATCAATATATTTTCATGGTCATTGAATCATATTTTCAATCTTATCTTTAGATAAGATAGGATCAACATCCTCATCTGTATATTTTCTCTCGTCTACTCATCCTTTCTGATACAATAATTGGTGGTATCAGTACTGATTTAATTGCTTCTGATAATTCAACACCAACAATTGTTGTTGGTGTGCGCCGTCCATTTGATGTTATTTTCGTTTTCGTTGGTGATTCAGAATTTCTTACAACCACAACTTTTGGTAATGATTGATTTTTTGATGTTATTTGGTTTGTTGAAGTTCAACAAATGATTTTCTTATTATCGTAGATATAATGATGATGTATCTTCGTGTAATTGTTGTTTAGAAACTGTTTGTAATTGATGCATAAAATCAAGTCGTTTACGTTCAATAATATCTTTTTCTTGTTTTAATTCAGTATTTTCATATTCTAATTATTTCAATACGTTCTCTTATACAATTGATTGTTGTTGACCAATATGTTTTATGCTGTTTTAAATCTTTTTGTAAAGTTAAAACCGATTGAAAGTATAGAAAAAAGAACGATGATTAAAGTTAGTTAAATCTCTTTTTTACTTGTTTTTTTTTTAATATTTCAATTTCTTCTCATTCACGTTTATCGAGATGACCATGTAATTGTTGTCGATACGTGGGCCATTCTGAAAGTTTTTAGATTCTTCATTAAATTTAATAGATATATACGAGTTTGATAGTTGTAGTAGTAGACCCAAGTATTAAAAGAAAGTCAACAAAGTTTTGGCTCTTGGACATTTTTTCTTTCGTTTTGTTGACGTGATCAGAGTAAACTATAACTCAAATTTGATCTTGTGTAAGATTCATACTAGGCTGGAAATAATATTTTGCCAGGGGGCACCACTATAATTTTAAATAGAGTAAATAATGAGTTTTGTAGCAAACGAAAGCCCGTCAAAAATGGGATTTATTGGTACTAAACAATAAGAGTTTTGGAAACTTTCGTACGTTACAATGTCTAAATTTAGAAAATTGAAATAACTTTTCTCATGCCTATGGTCGGCGAAATTTCATAGATTTAGACATTTCAACGTATGCAATTTTCCAAAAACTCTTATTGTTTAGTACCAATAAATCCCATTTTTGACGGGCTTTCGTTTGGTATAAAATGTAATATTTACTCTATTTAAATTTATAGCGATATCCACCTGGCAAAATATTATTTCCAGCCTAGTCTATTACTTAATATACAAAAGAACGAAAGAAGAAATGTCCAAGAGCCAAAACTTTGTGGACTTTCTTCTAAGACTTGGGTCTACTACCACAACTACCAGACTAGTATATATCTATTAAATTTAATCAAGAATCTAAAAACCTTCAGAATGACCCACGTAGTTATTGCTGTTTCTTGATCGTTCAGTTTTATTCACTTTTCATGCTATCGGCTTAGAATATCTGAATGATTTTGAAGAACAGGGTTGCTTATACTGAGAAACGATATAGAATTTATTTCGAGATCGTTAAAAGAAATAATTTCAAAAATAACGAAACATGAGTTGACTCTTCGATATGGGTCTACTAGTGTTCTACGATGTTTTATATTGATTTAGTCGATGGAATTCTTCAATTATTATTTCTCTAATTGATCTAGAGTGAGGAACATGGCAAAACACAAGTACTAATTGATTTTATCATTTTCTTTTCATTTCAGATGACAGCAAACTTTTTAAGATGAATTTTTATGTGCTATCTCATGTCGCATTCTTCTATTTCAAGATAAATCATCAAAAAATAGCTATCCAACACCCACACACAGTAAATTTTAGCAAAGATTAATGAAACCAAGACCCGCAATTCCGATCATTTCAGTATATCGATTAGTGTTCGTCATTTCAATCAAACAGTATTAATTTTGCTTCGAATCCAATTGAGATAAGCACTAGTACGAGTGTAAATACCCGGATAGTTTGCCGAACCACAACCATCTCCAAAACTGACCACACCGGAAAGGTACCACTGATTATTTACATTGTACATCAACGGACCACCACTATCACCTTGACAACTATCCTTTCCACCAACGTACGGAATACCGGCACCGATCTGTTGTCGCACATCGAATCTTCTCCCATACGCCATTTGTGCTTGATTATTCATTACATTGACAGTGACCTGACGGAGTGAAATGGCGCTGTTCCCACCTGATGATAGAACACCCCAGCCAGCCACTGTGACACGTTGAGATTCTTGAGGATCGGGCCCGGGTAAACAAATTGCATTGACATAGTCATTGAATTGTGCCGGTTGCGCAAGACGAATCAATGCAATATCGTGGGCTTCAGTGTTCTTATTGTATTGTTCATGGATGAAGATGCGCGAAACACGAAGGATTTGCGAGCGCGGTCCGTTGATATTGGTTCGATGATGCAAGCCAGCAATGACTCGAAAATTTGTTGAGTCTATGCAATGTGCGGCCGTGAGCACGTGTCGATTATCAATCAGTGTACCACCACAGAAATGATCGTCTGATTGCAAAGAAACAATCCACGGCCACGAATGAGCAATGGCTTCGACACCACCAACAATGCGTTGATATGATGGAGTAACTACTTGACGACCACAAGTGCTTGTCGTCGTCGGATTTGTCATAGTAATTACTGGTGGCATTGTCGTCGTCATTGGTTGTCCAATGCTGGTTTTGGGACAGCAATAGCGAACCTTGTAATCGGTGCACAGTTTTGTTTTGTAATTGACGACTTGTTGATTCAAACACAAGAAACCGTCCGCTTTGGTGAGACGAAAGATATCACCGGTTTTTGTTGGATCACCATCAACTAGTGTTCGAACCTAGAAGAAAAACGTTCAGTGTAATCCCTATGGATTCAAATATGAACCACGATAGAATCGTTCACTCGGAAATGACAGCCCTACCTACGTTCATCATATCATGTCTGGGAGTCAGATGAACTATCATTCTGTCTGTCTGTCACAATCTATAGAGCAGGCCGGCAACAGGTAGGGGGAACAATTTTTCACTTTTCTAGTTATATACTTCAATACTTATTTTCAATCGTGTTTTACAAAAGTAGAAGCTTGTGTGCATGTGACATTGAACTTACTTCGATGGCAATCGGATCAGGACACATGAAACTTGGAAATAGTCGTTGAATATGATTGGTCACTTCGAATTCACCTTGCGACAAATTTGGATCAGATGTATCAAACCAGATTGTCCATTCGTTGTAGCTCGTACAACTATTCTGATTAAATGATGGTGGATCGAACATGGCTTGGCTCATGAGACCTCTTAGTGAAGTAAGTAGAATGATCACTGCAACAAACATTGTACTTTATCCAAATGAAAATTACAATGCTTGTGACTTGAGAATCAATGACACTACGTGTGAAACTTCGTACTTTTATAAGAGTCTCACTAAGCTTCTCGATAAAACAAATGCTTCCTATTTTCTTAATCATCAACGAAATTCGACCCAATGACTAAAACTAAATATGTGACTTTTCTCTCGACCTACGATATCAATTAGCAGATAAAAAGTACAAGATTTAATCCAAAGTAAATTGATATTTCGAGTGGGAGCGCATTGTAAGCTTTGAGTAAAAAGGGCCTGTGTCGACAATGACAACATTACATTAGATTTCCGTTTCAATATGATAAGAAAAGATGAATTTGGGGTGATCTTAGTTTTCTGAATTTCATTCAATTGTTATCCATAGTATCTTACTAAAAGAACATCATGGTAATGACAATAAACAGATTTGTTTTAATCGAATAAGTCTTCATCGTTTATTACAAAACGGCAATTACTCACACCCACATCCGACAGATACAGATTTGGACCCTATTAGATCTATATTCAAGTTTTTTCACTAATATTAGGCATCTTCTGTGTATATGATTGAATGTATCATCAAGATTTTAATCATTTAATGGCTCTTCTTAGAAAATACTCATTCTAAAGTTAAACCGTAGCCAAAGTGTTATATTTGGGTAGGTTGACTTCAACTCTTTTCTATTAAGATTCGAAACTGAATACAAATCGAATCTGAAATTCAAGTTGGGTATGAGCTCGAACTCTGCCAAGTCAAGAAACACTCGCAGCTCTTGAATTAAAATAGATCAGTGTATCAAGAACTGAACGTTTGAAACATTCTTAAAATCTGTACT